ATCACTATGTTTGGTATTATGGCATGCTACACATGTGGACGAACTATAAAATGTATGTTGACAATGGGCTGGTTATGAAAAACCTCACGATTTCACTCATACCTGTAATTTTTATTCTCATAATCCAATGTATCCGAGGTGTTTCCCTTAGATTTCTTTCCCACTGGGAGGGCCACACTTAATCACAATATTTTATACAAGACATTTCCACGAGATGTTTTGCCCAGATGGAACACACTTGACATTCTCCGAAGCAACCAAAGGCACCACCTTCGGCACATACTTATTCGGGCCCATTGTTGCTTACACACACTAGTCCTACCATGTTTATTCACAAAGTACTGTTTTCAGTCACAGTTATACAGCACTTCTCCACTGATATGGTGCTGTACTTCTCTTTCCCAAATGCATTGGTGCCTACCAATTCTATTCTGCCCTCTTTTCAGTATAAGAAAATGTCAACTCTGGACCCTAAATGTTGCAGTATGCTGGTTGCTATAAGAACTCCAGATGGCAATATCATCTGCATATTGAGACACAAGAGTATGGTTTAAGGACCCTAAATGTTGCAATATGCTGGTTGCTAGAAGAACTCCAGATGGCAATATCATCTGCATATTGAGACACAAGAGTATGGTTTAAGGAAGGGAATGGTATATCATTGACAAAGAAGTTGTATAATGTTGGGCACACCCTCTGGGGACACCTGTTTCGAACATGAAGGGCCTGGAGGTCATATTGTTGATCTTAACTTTTAACTGTTCTGTTGGTAAGAAAAATGGATATCTAGCATACAATGTGACAGCCATCTTGCATCATGTGATGGGGTCCTTGTGCAACCAGGACCTTGTGATATAATCCCTTCAACTCATTTCATTTGCCTTTTTTTTGGGCTTGACAACAAAGAGGATGATTTTGAGTGCCTTTTCCACCAATACTTCTCTCCTTAATGAATATCTTTCAACTTTTTCCACTTGCCTTACATATAACTTCTACCTATGGTTTCCTTTCTTCTCCCTGACCAGTTATTTCAATGCTTGGCATTTCCTTTGGGTTCTTCTTTGCTCCTGATGTTTTATGCTTTGTACTCCCTGCTTTACTGGGTAACACATAGAAGTTACTATTTAGGTCTAGTGTATTACTCTTTAACACATAACTCATAGGATTTAATGTATAGATATTATTTATTACTCCTTCACATATCCTTATAGAACATCGTGTTTGGATCTAGTTCATTACTCCTTACTTTGTACCACACAGAATATTATGTTTAGTCATAGTTCATCACTCCTTCATATGTACACATAAAAGTTGGTATTTGGTCATATTTAATTATTTCATACTATGTAAACATATATCTTAACATTTAGTTTCAGTTAAGTACTCTTTAATGTGTATCATATAGATGTTTATATTTCATTCTGGTTGATTACTCCTTAACATGTCCACATAGAAGATAATGCTTAGACTTAGTTAACTATTTCTTGCCAGATGCACATAGATGTTAATTTTTGCTACTAGTTCTTACTTCTTACTAATGTTTAGACATAGTTGATTACTCCTTATTATGTATCACTTAGAATATAATGTTTGGTCATGGTTCATTGCTCCTTTCCATGTACACATGACTGTTGATGTTTAAACATAGTTAGTTACACTTTAACATGTACACTTAGATGATAATGTTTAGATCTATTTTATTATTTCTTAACATATAATACACAGAATATGATGTTTAGTCATAGTTACTTACTCCTTATGTCATGTAAAAGGTAATATTTCATCATAGTTCATTACTCCTTAACATGTCCATAATGAACCTGTAGCAGACGTTTCATATATTTAATTGAACAAACTTCAACAATTTACATTTGCATTGCTCTCTCTCTAACATTTGGATGTCTCATGAACAATTCCTCTATTATACTTATTAACATTTCCACGATAGTCAGTAAATCATTAAGTAGCTTAACTCCTATAAGACCCTCTGTCATGATATACTGTATAATAGACATGCTGCTAGATGAAGTAGAGAGGAAATTTAGACTTACATTAAGTTTGAGTTGTGAAAGTTCTACACAGATGCTAAGGCTGACATCTTCTTAGAGGATTCGCTGAAGAGTGGAAGGGCTATCATC